AAAAAAAAAAAAAAAAAAGAATTTACTCTTAGTTCATTGCACCTGATGACATGGATGAACTCAGTAGTAAATCCTAACATTTGAAGGTCCTCAGCAAAAAGGCCTAAAGTAGTATTTCAGGATGAACATGATGTTACTGGAAACAGGCCAACTGACACAGTTTGGGTAATGAGAATTTCAGAATTTTGGAACAGAAAGGGACAGAAATGATCATTGACTCACAGGCCAGTGACAGTACAGTAACCTAACAAAGAGAAAAATCTGGGAGGCATGCGAAATTCTGCTCCCTTATACCCAGGGGAACAAAAGTGACCACACGCCAAGCAACAGTTATATGAATATATATTAATGTATTCTTACCCCTCCACTCTAAATCCACCAAGGAAACAAACCAGTTTTACTCCATATTTATGCATGTGTCAGAGTTCCCTCAAATTTGTTAATAGGTGATTTATGGTAAAACAAACAATGGTTGATTCTGAATCTTCTCGCTCTTGATTTAACTAATTAATATCTTACATAACCTCCTACTATTTCATATTAGATACAGAACCCCATCCTCATTTTGTTAAAACACCAAAAGTCCTAGAACTGTTGGAAAAGGGGCCACAGACTCTTCACATTGAAATTGTCAGCTGAATTAAAGGAAATGGAATGGAGGGGATGGCTTCCCGCCAAATGCTTTGCTTGGTGCCTTGGCCACTTGGCTATTGCAGGTTTTGATGCACTGTCTATAAAACTGGCTTATCTGTAGAAATAAGCCTGGGAGGTCACTTACCAAGAGCTAATAAAGATATTGGAAAGTTTCCTGCAGCAGTAATGAAAGAGGACAGATAACATGAAATGGACCTGGATGTGCTTATTAGGGTCCCCTGAAGCAGGAAACAACTTCATAGAGATAGTTACAAAGCCTATCGACTCTTCGTTTACATTTGCTCCCAAAGATTCTGACTGTGGGGTCTTAAAAAAGTCTGTGAGGAGATGATCTCCAGGCAGCGATCCAAAACTCTGCAATTCTCCTTTCATTCACCAAATTCTGAAATTCTGGGTATCAAAATGGTAGCAGGTCTTCTCCCAGTAACACTTAAAAGAATACCTCTTCATACCTTCTTCCTGAAGACTTTAAGTGCAAGGACGATACGGTCATCCTAGGCAATGCATCCTAGGATGATCTCTGAGTGACTGTCTTCCTGCACCTGCATTCTGCTTGCTTGGCCCTCTGACTTCAGGGCAACCATGTGGCACCCAGCCTGCCTGATCATCCCAGCCTAAAATGGGTGCAGCTGTCGAGACCCTCCTTCTCCCTCATGTTCTCCTAAACTCATCTAAGCTTTTTGCTGCATAGTCAAAAAATCACTGTACTAAAAACAGTGGAAATAGAGAAAACCAACAACAGTGACCGAGAACATTTCTTCAGATGTCCAGAGCACAGGAAAGAGGTGACTGTTGCTGGAAAGAGGTGAACAAAGGCTGCATGTAATACATCATTGGGAGAGCTGCATGCGTGTCTCAGAAAAAGAGGTCCTTCTGGGAATGGAGGAATTAGGGAGCCGTGTGACATATTCATGTCTTTAAGTCTGTAAATGGCAATGGGCCATGCCATCTGCAGGGGAACCAGGAAAGCAAAGCTTGTCTTGAAACTCAATGCTCTGTATAGATAAACTAGAGCCTTGAACTGCCCAGGCAAGCTTAAAAGGGGGGACTTCATTAATCACTTTTATAGGACCAAAGTTTATGTGTTAGTGTCATGGAATTACAAGCTAGTTTGGGGGAAGTTTGGAAAGATAAAATGTTGACATATACTGAAACTTTATTACTTTTTTTTTTATTGTTGGGGATTCATTGAGGGTACAAGAAACCAGGTTACACTGATTGCATTTGTCAGGTAAAGTCCCTCTTACAATCATTTGTCTTATAACTCATTTCAACAAGCCCACAGGAACCTTAGAAGGAAGTATCCATTCGATAATAAGTAATGAAAGAAAAAGTCATAAATTTAGAATTTCTAATGACTAAACACTACTTTATAAGAAGACTTTTCATTCATTTCAAATAACATTTATTGAACACCCCATGTTCTCTGAGTAATACCGTGTGGGTATTATTATTGGCACCAAGCTATAACCTTGCGCTTGCTCAATGCTGCCCAGTAGAAATACAATGCAAGCCACCTGTATAATTAAAAATTTTCTAGTAGGAGTGAAAAGAAACAGGTAACATTTCTTTTAATAATATATTTAACCTTAAATATCTACTATTATCTAATGATAGTAAAGCTATTATTATTTTTTAAAAACTATTACTATTTTCACATTTAATTGATTATTAAACAACTTATTATTTAATGTAATTGATTGTTATTATTATTTTTGAGACAGAGTCTCTACCCTTGGTAGAGTGCTGTGGCATCATAGTTCACAGCAACATCAAACTCTTGGGCTCAAATAATTCTCTTGCCTATGCCTCCTGAGTAGGTGGGACTACAGGCGCTCACCACCATGCCCAGCTAGTTTTAGAGACTTGCTCCTGCTCAGGCTGGTCTTGTATTCCTGAGCTCAAACAATCCACCTGCCTCAGCCTCCCAGAGTAATTAATTATTACTAAACAACTAGCATTTAATGAGGAAACTAGCATTTTAACATATGATTATTTATTATTGATCAATTATTATTTAATGATAAATAAAATATTTATTTGTATATAATAATTGATATATGAAATTTATATTTTACATTTTTTTCTTACTAAGTTTAAAAAAATCCAGTATTTCACCCTTGCAGCACACAACAGCTGCTAATTTTTCAGTGGTTAAAGTGACATGTAGTGAA